CGCTGTGATGACGTCAAATGCGCGCTTTGGTCGAGCGCGATTTTGTTCTCCGCGGTTTTGTGGTGGAACCAAAGATCCTATTATATGCTTCTGTATTGTTCCATTCAGAAAATAAAGATTGTATCTATGAGTGGATTTATGGTGGCGCTCATTCCCCATCTCTTTTCCTCCCGCCAGGTGTCTTGCAGTTTGTCGAGATCATTGTCAACATTCTGGTGCTGATCTGCATAGGAGCAACCCACGCGGGGATCTCCAGTTTCACTTCCTTGGGCGGCCTAGGCTCTTTCAACATCGACTCACTCTACAGTCCATTTCAGGGGACTGAACTCCAAGAGGTGACCGAAGTGGACAGGCAGTACAGCCAGATGAGAGCCCCTTGTGTGTACGGAGGGGTAGCCTTCACCCTGACAATGACGTGCCTAACCCTTCTGTTTCTCATTGTTGGAGCAAAGCCTATCCATCGCCTTTCCCTTGGACTGCTGGCCGCCGAGTGTCTCTTTCACATCCTCGCCTGCCTTGGCTATATAGCGGCAGTTGGCCTCTACCTCCACTTCGTCATTCAAGTCAACGCCACGGATGTGTGCCTGAAGAGAGAGAGGCTATACGCCAGGCGAGGTTACACCTCAGTGAATTGCAGCGTACAAGGCGGGGACGCATCCGTGGCCCTTTTCGGCCTGGTGGCTGCTTGCCTGTATTTTGGAAGCTTGGTGGTTTGTGTTCTCACCATTCGAGAGGTCCGGCAGTTTCAAAAGCAGCGGGACAACAGTCGTTATGATCCTGAGAGAACCTACAGAGAAGACGGCCATCCCAAACCCCATAGGAGCCAAGAAAACATACCCACCGAAAGGACTTTTGGCACACTTGTGTAATCTACACCAGGTGTCTCAATGAAGCCAGACTTTTTAAAAAAAGATTCCCCCCCACCCACAGACAATAGTTGTATAATATAACATCAAAGATGTATTTTAAAAATTATTCTTCCTAGCTAGGAACTTAGTTCCGTGACTAACTTTACAGAAAAAGGGAAGGAATTGTAGAAATGATTTCCAGGGTGTTTTTTTTTTGGCCTGGATATGTTCTTTCAGTAAGAGCTCTTTGGCATCATTGTCTTAAGATCTCACCTGGACCTGAAATTACCCGAGAACTTAAGTTTGCCTTGAAGATATCTAACCATAAAGATAGTGAGATAGTTATTGCCAAGAGCGAATATGTGGAAGATAAGTTGTTTTGATTATGTATTGATTATACTTGTAAATGACCCAGAAATCGGTTACTGGCTCCAGGTTGAAACTTAATGGTGTTGACCGATCAATTTTATTATATTCAGAAATTTCTACTAAGTGTCTGACTGAATAGGAAATCTAGGCATTAGTTCTCTTATCATAAGTACATTGATTACGTTTGGTTCGGACATCAGCTAGNCCAGTAAGGGTATGGCTAGCTGATGAGAGCTAAATAGCTTGAAATAGATCTATACTAGTCTCCCTTTATTTATCAGCACAAATACACACACACACACACACACACACACACACACACACACACACACACACACACATATAATTTCAGTTCTACCATTTAGTTGTAGTTGTAATTGTGTGTCTCTACATCCGGATACTAAGAGAGACTGGCAAATTCTCTATGACTCACCTGCCCAAAGTTGCTTCGGATAATGAGATGAGTAGCAAAAATATTAAGACATAAATTCAGACATTATGGATTATTATTGGGCTACCCAGTTAAGGAATCAGGACTTTTAAAAGAACACTTACTCAGGGAGGGAGTAAGCAGAGGATGAAAACGTTAAGTGGGCTCCTGAGCTGGATAGTAGATAGAAAACTCTTCCATCTATAGCACAATATTATCATATTGTCTTGCTATTATGTGTCCCATAGCTGCCAAAAGTGCAGTTTGACTAATTTAACAGCTACAGGGATTCACTTAACAACTGTGGCAAAAAAGAAAGGTCGTAAAACGGGGGAAACTCACTTAACTGTTCCACTTAGCGACAGAAATTTTGGTCTTACGGTCACACGTCGAGCACTACCTGTATTGAAGATTGAGGGAGGGGAGAAATAACCCAATTATATATTTTTTTTAAAAAAATAGTGTCTTGGCATGGAACACTTTTTCTTTAAAAAAAAATTAACTTTAAACAAAAAAATCCATCTAGCTGTTGAAGTTTGAAAAACTTTCAAAAAGCCACTTTAGAAAAAAAGCAAACTAATGCTTGCTTATCTTTGCTTAGCAGCAATTAATCAAATCCGAGACTAGTTTAGCAACTTTTCTTACCAGAGAAAGTAAAGAAATCATTCGGAAATCAAGCTCTCTTAAATTTTGATTGAGGTATGATAATGTTGAAGAATAGTTGGCAAGGACCATTTCATTTAGTTTAAACTGCTCCGGTACTTAACTCTTAAGCATGACTCTTATGTAATTTTAATAGGAAAGGCCTCAGGTACTCTTACATTAAACTAAATTAGCATAAATTTTCCAGAATGTAATCTCTGGCTGTTACACCCTTCAATTTATACTTAGTCTTTAGCACGACTTGGTAATAAATTTGTGGTATAATTATTCAGGTTTATTTTTCTCGTTTCCCCCCCCCACCCCCCACTCTTCAAAATATTGTTGCTCATTTTGCTTAGATTCATCTTAAATCAAATTGCACAAACTAAACATTAATCATTTTTTTTTTCAGTTTTGAGATTTTTGCTCATGTCTTCTTTAATCTTGTTGCTATTGTTTTATTCCAGAATCTTACAAACAGTTTTGGGCTTCAGACCTCACTCTTTAAGTTATGAGAGAGGGCTGGCATTTTAAAAAGTGAGAGGGGCCAAGATTTAAAAAAAAACAACTCCTCAGAAATGAGATTAACTTTAAATTATATTAATACAACCATTCTCTGTATATTTAATAAATTCCCTTTCTATCACACCAGTAATTCAAATTTAGAATCGATTTTTGCAGATGCTTTGGGACCCCAAGAATGAAATTTTTACACTCCTGCATTAGTGGATTTTTTTAGTATTTACAATATTGTAGCTATCCCTGCTGCATCTAACTAATTGATTCCATCATAGAATTTAAATGTGTTAATTCATCTGGTAAGTAACAGTACTGGTTAAGTTGTATGTCATTGTAGGAGCGGAATGTGATGAGGTCACAATATGGAAAACAATAGCAATAGCAATAGCAGTTAGACTTATATACCGCTTCGTAGGGCTTTCAGCCCTCTCTAAGCGGTTTACAGAGTCAGCATATCGCCCCCACAGTCTGGGTCCTCATTTCACCCATCAATGCATGTTAATATAATACTGGATAGGAAATACTGATGATCTGATGATGGTCATTTTGAAAAATCCTTTCTTAGCAAGCACCTCGAAGACAAGAGGAACATACGTGCTGAATTTCAAGTTTGTAGGCTTCACAGTTCTGGAGATTTTGTGATGAGTGAACGGTATTTGGGTTTTATTAATAGTTAATTTGAAGAAAAAAAAAAGTTAAAACGTGTGGGCTCAGTCCAGTTGGGGCTAAAAGATCCCGTGACCCGTCAAAACCGCGGAGGACAAAATCGCGCTCGACGAAAGCGCGCATTTGACGTCATCACAGTGCGACG